AAAAGCTAAATGGAAGAAGGTTAAAAATACCAATTACAGGAGAACATGTAAAGATATTCAAACAAAGTCAAATGTAAATAAATATAGAAAATTTTATTGAAGACATAAATCTTTCAAGACAACAAGATTATTTTGATTTAAATAGCAAAAATGAAGAAGAAGAATTGGATGAAGACATTGAGAATATAGTATGAATCAAACAAAGTTGGATTATTTGGTTCATACTAAGGAATGCACAGATTCAGAGAAGATGGATGTCATGTTGTAATATAATTATATGGTGAAAGATAATAATATGGAGCTTATTATAGAAGAGCCAAGTTAAAAGATAAAGTAGAAAAATATGGATAAAAGATATGAAGGTATTAAAACTTTTAGTAGTAATGCTACCTTTTTTAGAAAATAACTTCTACTTACTTTGTAGGGCCATAAATAAGGAAAAATAAGGTAATTAAAAAAAAAAGATACAAGCATATAAAGGAGGGAGTTAGGAGTTGGTTTTATCAAAATTTATTTTAAAAGAGACAAAAATTGATACCCGGAGAGGACTGATTATGAACCTAGGTAGAAATCAGACCCTATGGCACAAAACCGAGCCTCAATAATAAATCAAGGGTTTTTTTATTGATCAAAGAGTGAAGTTGGAGAGAAGACTTAATAAGGTTTCTATATGCATTGATTTTGGAGGATTTGACTAGGTAATGAATTTGTAAGAGCTTTGCAAAGTTGATGTTGTTTTTGGTGACTTTGATTTTGGAAAATAAAATAGGGTTGATGTTTTGGGCAATTTCAAGAGTTTGGTAATAGATCTATAGGTAAATTTTTTTTGGATTTACAAGTGTTATTGTGTAACGTATATGTTGTGAATTTGGATTTGATCAAACAGTTAGATTGAAAAATATGAAGGTTTTTTGTGGTTTATGGTCTCAAAATTTAGGGTTTTGAGGACTAATAAGGTTTTCTTAGATATTTGTCAATTTACTAACTAGATTGAGGCAAATTTTTTTAAAGAAGTGGTCAACTTGATTTCTAATAAGTATATAAAATTTAGAAGCAAAATAACTATTCAATCAAGATTAATTGGCTGTGAGAGATTGGCATCAAGGTCGGAGAAGGAGGTTGGTTGACACTTAAGTGCATTTTTGAGATTATCATGTATTTGGTAAATTCAATCATCTTTAAAAAAAAAATTTACTTATTTTTAACTTAATTAGTGAAGAATGTATAAAATTTGAGTTGAAATCGACGGTTCAAATATTAGTTAGTGAATTTCAAAATCTATTGTAAGGTTGTTGGAAATTTATTTGAGATTTAAAATTTGATTAAGATTTGATTAGGATTTGGTTTAGGATTAAGATTAGGATTAGGATTTGATTAGGATTAGGATTTAGAATTTGGTCTAGGATTTGATTAAAGTTCTTGAATTTTTATTTTTAGTATTTAAAGATATCTTTGTTATACTTTTAGGATTATTTATATTTATATACATATATATATATATATATATATATATATATATATATATATACATATATATTTAAGATTAATTTATAATTTCTTCATGTTTCTTTTCTAATTGCTTTAAGATTTCTTTTGGATTTGATTAAAGATTGATTAACATTATTAAGATTTAATTAGAATTTATTTAAAATTCTATTAGAGTTGTTAGGATCTTATTGTTGCAATTTCTTTTTACCTTTCACAGCTAGGTATCTGGTGCATTCTCAAGCAAGATTTCACATAATTTAACAACGTGTCTCTTTTTGAGCCATATAAAACAGCGCATATCTCGAGAAGAAGACAAATGCCACCTCTTCGTATAAAAAATGGATAATAATCAAGAATTCAAGGTGGTGGAAGTCTTAGATTCAAAGCAATGCCAAAATAGGTTAAAATATCTTATTCATTGGCATGGATATGTCACGGCCATAATCATGTAAGCTAATAATTACATATAGAAATAGGTAGAAGTAAGTAAAAGTAGGTAAAAGTAAGTTAATTCTATAATATTTAATATAGAAGCTTCCTAGAAATTTCCTAAACGCTGCTTTGACTTCATAGGTGTCTTTAATTGACTTTTTGGATTAGAAACGTGGTCAACAAGTTGGCCATGTGCCACACATGTTGTTAGCTTGAAGATCAAGCTAACTATGTGACTCACACGTAGAAAAACTTGCCTTGTAAGTCAAGGCATGTGCCCTACAAAGTCAACACATATTGGAGGTCCTATAGAACGTCGCCATGTAGCCCCTAGTTAGAGAGTATATATAGAGACAAGAGTGAAGGCTTCTTCACTCTTGTCAACTCCTTTCTTGCTTCTAGTCTAATTTCAAGGGTCTCTAGTTTTCTTGTCTTTTGGCAATAGCCATTCCAGTTTCTCTTTCAATATATATACTTATTTATATATATTTTGTTACCTCTCTTTGAGTGAATGCTCACTTGTTTGAATTGTTTTTTTCATCGAGTTCTTGTCCTTGACAGGATATGATATTAGTGAACATACATGGGAACCAAAAAAAATCTTGCAAATTCAACAAAAAAAGTTGAAGCTTTTTATTGATAATATCCATCAAAACTAAGATAAAAAATTGCAAGATCCATGAAAGGTGATGACCACTAAGAATTGCAAGATCCATGAAAGGTGATATCCATAAAGAATTGCAAGATCCATGAAAGGTGATGGAATTTGTTCCTAAAAGAAGAAGGTAATGTCATAGATATACATACTTAATCTAATATTTACCTATATGATTAAGTAGAAGTAGATGAAAATAGATTTATTTCATAATATTTTTTATAAAAGCTTTCTAGAAGCTTCATAGATGCTACTTTGATTTTACATGTATTTGTAGTCGATTGGTAGGTTAGAAACTTAGTCAATAAATTAACCATGTATTGGTAGCTTGCGGAATAAGTTAATTATGTGGCGCTTATATAGAAATCTTGCCTTGTAAGTTAAGATATGTATCTTGCAAAGTCAACACGTTTTAGAAATTCCATAAGACATTGCCATATAGCTCTTAGTTAAGAGTATATATGGAGGCAAGAGTGAAGCCTTTTTCACTCTTTTCAATGCCTTTCTAGTCTTTAATCTTATTTCAAGACTTTTTAGTCTTCTTGACTTTGGCAATAGCCATTTTAGTTTAATACTATATCATCTTTGAGTGATTTTTTAAGCTTTTTTAGTGACACAAGAGAATATTGAGGTTTTCATTATTTGATATTCATGTCCTTGACAATTAATGAGAAGGATGAGAAGCACTATTAATTAATTGATATTGAGATGGGACTTTTAGATGCATTAATATTAATAAAAAGATAAATTAAATTAATAAGGACTTTAATTAATTTATCAACCAATATTTTAAATAATTCTAATGACATGGATCCATTTTTTACTTATAGATATGATTTAAATTATATTGTGAAAAATTGGTTAAATCTATTGTGCCAAGAATATTATAAAAGAATGCAATAATTAAATAAAATTTGTAACAAAACATAACATATTCTATTATCATTTTTTATTCCAATCAATATAAAATAAAATAAAATATTTAAGCTATTATATGAAATAGTATTTTTTAATTATTTTTAAAGATTTATATAAAATTAGATATATAGTTATTATTAACAAATATTTATAAATTTATATATTATCATTAAATATATATATATATATATATACATATATTTTTTAAAATTCTATCTAAATATTTATTTAATAAAAATATGATACATATTTTTTATATTATACAAAATCCAGTTTAATCAAGCACTAAAAAATAAATAAACAAATATTATCATTTTTTTATAAAAATATATATTTTTACAAAATCAAATCTTCATTTATTATATATTAATCACAAAATTGACAATCTTGTGTTTTTTAATACAAAAATAATGTATGTTAAAACTAATTCATTTCTTTTACATTTGAATATGAAGTTTCTTCACAAAAAAATTCAATGTAATTGAATAAAAATTAAAATTATCCGATTTAAAATATGCACTAACTTCATCTAATACTGTTTGATAAAATAAAAAAGAAGATATTGACTGATAAGAAAATTTTGTTTGTTTGTTTGTTTGTTTTTTTAACTTATTTCTTTCTTATTGACTAATTTAGTTTTTACAAATACTTCTTATTAAATGATTCATTCATAATTATAACCATGCAAACCCAACACTTTTTCAAAAGAAGAAAGACTCGAAAAGAAAAAGAAAAGGAACGATCCTAAAGGAGATGGCTCAAGTTGTAAAAGGAAAAAGAACAAAGGCTAAAGGCAAAAGGACCGACGAAAAGGTCCAAGACGACAGACTTTACCCTGGCAAATGAACGAGCCAATTTTATCGGTGGGGTTGGACTGAGTCGTCGTCGGCATCAACGAACTCTCCACGAAACCCTAATTTTGGAGCCGTCATGCGAGTAGGGCGGTCGCGTTTTCTGCTCGTGGTCGCCACGCAATTGACCGCCGCTCATTTGCCATTGCGCGTCTGGTTCACGAGGGGGGGGAGAGAGAGAGAGAGCGCCCTTACCCCACCTACCCATAGAATTCCGCTGAACCCACCTTCTGTGGTAGAACAGATTGCGTGCATTTCGGAAGAGAATTGGGTTTGAAAACCGGGGGAAGGTGGGTTGTGTGTGTGTGGATCGACAGAGGACTTACCCATGACGAGAGGGAATCAGAGGGAGAAAGACCGCGAGAGGGCTGCCGCGAGAGCCAAGGGGGCTAAAGGGAAAGACGATGGGCTCACGCCTGAGCAGCGCCGTGAGCGCGACGCCAAAGCTTTGCAAGAGAAGCTGGCGAAGAAGGCTGAGAAAGCGCCTGCATCCTCATCGTCTGCTGCGAAGAAATAATGATGCAGCTTGCCCCTTGACTGCCGTGGTGTGATCCCCACTTTTTATTCGCCCTTCCATGGTTTCTCTGCTCCCCCTGTTGTTATTATTTTAAAAAGATAAACATATTTCTGTGTAATCTCGAAATTGCCCTCTTAGAATGGTGCACAATTTCGAGACTCGTGCCCTAGTTGGCACAGGTCTGTGCAGCGAGTAAGGGTGGGTGTGTAGATCCGGGAACGAATAAGCTTCACAAGGTTTTTACGTGGAAGCGTTGAGGCCTTTCGGGGCTGAGAGCCGCATGGCAGTACATGCATCTAAATGCTAAGCATTGTATTTGAAATTTCTTCATTTATTGATCGGTTCGTGACTGGGTCTCCCTGCCACTTCCAGCTATCGCACAGAATCCAAGAGTCGGATATACGTAGATCTGATCGATATACAAATTTTCAATTAAACAGTTCATGGTGATGTCTGCCATTACACATCAGCCGTTAATTTTAAGCCAGATGAACATGATGTTTCCACATTTTGGGAGCGTTGTTGCCGATTTATCCTCGCAGTCATTCATGTTATGTTGGCGTAGGCCTCTGCGATTGCTTTGGTTTTCAAACATCGTTGAAGATCCCTTTCTCATAAAACTAGTAGTTGCATAACATTATTTATTTAGTTATTTTTGTGGTCAATGGAAAGCCATTGTTGTCATTTAAACATGATGTTGTGGTGAATTTCATCTTAGCTATCCAAGGATTTTGCGTATTCAGGGGAAGTGTGCATCCAGAATGCTCTGATCTTGGGCTTCTAATGACAGTAGTCCATGAACACTTATATTCAACTGCTCAAAACCTCGTTTTCTGTAGGGAAATTCTCAAGGTTGGCATGTGGCATTATTTCAAGGCCCCGATCATTTGCATATGATCAACGTTGAAGTGCAATTCACGATGAGCTTTTGCGTGCAAGCCTCGATGAAACCTGTACTTCGTACCCCTCTTGTGGCCGTTGAGTTATTAGCAAAAAGTGAACCTTCATGTTTGCTTTGTGTCTTGGAAAAAAAGCATCACGATGCTGTTTGCATTCCATTTTTTTTCATTCTCTCAAGGTCTCACTTGACTTACTAGATCTCCGCCGGTGGTACTTTCACTGCTCAAAATTTCAACATGAGTAACGAGAACCTATTGATTGTTATCAGATTTTCGCTTCATGATTTGCAACCTGATTGGAGTTGCTCAATTGGATGGTGGAAAGGATGTTTCCCTATTTTGCACTAGTTTTTGTCTCGGACTTCTAATAGTGAGTGCTTAGGTATGCCCATTTGAAACTCTATGCTCGGAACTGCCCTTTGTATCAACCTAAGCGTTTATATTCGCACGACCATGAAAATGATGATAGTTTTTCAGCACAGGATGCTTCTGGAAACCACACAGGCTCACTCACTTCCTCACAGCCACCATATTTTACACAATTTCAGTGCTGCAACTGTTGTATACAGAACAGCCTGCAATTAAGTGGGGGTTGAGGAATCCAGTGAAGAAGGCATTGTTGTGTGTAATATTAGGTTGTGCTATTAGACACCAAACTGAATATGTAGAAGAATGTTTACATGACAGGATTGTTTTATTATACTTTAATCAAATACACACACACACACATATATATATATATATATATATATAGTAATTCTCACAAGCTATGAACTAGAGTTAGACTTATTGGAAATCGTTTGAAGATGTTCTATGTGCTCACCAAAAAGGGAAAACATTGTGCCTCAAGGATAATCTTAAGCAAAGCGCAATCTTGTTGTGTTATGCCTATATCAAGCAAATGAAATTCAAAACATAACTATTACATATTGGTTATTGCTATGTACAGAATTAGTTTATATATATATATATATATATATATACTAATTTTATTCCATTCAAGTGTATGTCAATTTAAAATATAGTTAAGATATATTTTAATAACAAACTATTATTCAGAATTTGGAAATTACAAGCATATTTGCCAATAATATCCTATTGCTTAATATGTATTGTGTGATGTATTCAAATTTTGCTTCTATATAATAATAAGATATATATATATATATATATATATATAATGTCCTTTTAGTAGTCATATTAGTATACACTTTACATGAACAATTGTTTACTTATTCAGGTATTATAATTATGAAAACCTTAAACAACTATAATAGACAAAAAGATATCATAGATTTTATTTTTTTGAACTAAAAGATAGTTGATAGTTAGTTGATAGAATCTAAAAGTACACAAAGAACGTCTTGTCTTTTTTTTTTTTTTTTTTAAATGCTAAAAAATATTACATCCTCAAAAGAAACATTTGAAACAATTTTACAATATTTTAATAACAAACAATTAATTAATGTGATGGTTATAGCACTAAATTTGGATTCTACATTATTAAAATAAATAAATAATACTTGTCTGTATATTAGGATATTTCTTGTATTATAGATCTCAATTAAATAAAGTTCTCACAATAGTTATTTTATTATTATCAAGATTAGTATTGGAAATGTTCTTAAATTTTAAGATTTTAATTTATACCAACAAAATATCACACCACAAATTTTTTTGAGAATTTCATAAATTAAGAATACATAGTCTTGGACAGTAATTTTAAAATAAAACTTATTTTGCACTAGAATTTGAAGTTAAAAATAAGATTCTTACACTGAAAAATTAAATTAGACATACTTAACATTCTACTAACGAACCACAAAATTTCACACCTTTTTCTACATTATTTATAAACCTTGTTCATTATTTTAAAATGTTTTCTTTTTCAAAATAAAATTACTATATTTTTAATAACTATTCCGGATGTATTGAGTACTTTTCTTTCTTAAAGATTTAAAGATGACAAAACCTACTATAGTCGTTTTGCATAAGTATAAATTTATCTCACCATCGTGTAAATTAAATGTTCGCATTATTAATTTATTTAGCTTTATTCTCAACCCATTACTTTCTTTTCCTTCTTATACTCTTCGTTAGGTTGCATTCAATCGTTTTGTTTTTAACAAGATTTTTTTAATTTGCTTTTTTGCATTCACAAAGTGGATACGAACCGTGTAAAACACATGCTTCCATTGCTCGTGAAGACGAGATCCTCCACGACTGTGAGCTAACTATGAAAGTAGGCCCACAGCAAAGAACACGGTGAAATCGGTCGGGACTTTCTAGCAACTTTCACAACTGCTACCCAACCAGTGCTCGCTGCTCCGCGTTTCTGCAGCAGCACGCAAACCGCAAGTAGTTCTGAACATCAGCGACAAACTGCTGTTTCTGTAGCACTCTTCATATACAGGCAGCGGAACTACCTCTCCATGGTGGAACTCTGGAGCTCGACGCGGAATGGAATCGCCGCCGGTCGTGCGTCCTGTCCTGTATCGAAGTAACAGAAATAATCGAAGGTTGGGCCAGGACAGGACGTTACACGGTCACGGACCCTTTGATGGAAGAGTTCTGAGACGAGGTTTCAGAACTCGAAACAAAACGAGGGATGCCGTTAGAAGAACAAGTACCGGATTCCTGTTGCAAGAATCTCGTGCCTGTGCCGCACCATCACTTGTGGGTGCGGGGAGGGGGGTTAATATCTCATCACAGTCTGCTTCCGCGGTTGGAAACTTTACTCGAACTGCTGCCACTCGTTCTCCAGGTGCCTTTCTTTTGTATCACATCTCTTCCTAAAGAGTGCTGGCGTCCAGTCCACGTCGTTCTTATTGAATTCTTCGCTTGGCAAGCAATCAATGTGCTCAGCCTCGTTACCATTCCTCGATCGTGAACTCTCTGCCACATCTGTTGCTTGCACTGAAAGGCTCCGCATCCGTTGGGGGCCTGGGACTGTGTTGTGTCCATGGTAACGCACGTCCTTCCTGTCACTTGAGAACGGAAGCTGGAGGACGGCGGCCACTGGAATCTAAGATGATTCTGAATGGATATCTCGTCAATGATTTTACAACTGTCGTGTGAAAGTGTGAGGCACCTGAGACAGCGATTGATTTTGATCCCCTCGACTTCCCGCAGATTTCCTGAGTCTGCGTGGTGAAACTCCCTTGTTGACGCAGAAATATTTTCCACTTCTTGACTCAGGTTCTGAGAATACAACGCAAATAGCAAAGAGAAGGTACTGCCGGCTTAAGGATGCGGGAGGTATCCGACAGCGCAGAAAAATGGGCTTGCAACTGAAAGAACACTAGTGTCATAGAATCACCAAATCAAAGATCACGGATGATCACTTCCTTCACGACAATAAACAAAGGCACCTCCAATCAAAGAGCCTGTGTCAGAGATGACTCGGCAGGTACATGCGTGGACTATAAGTACATTTATAATAGACATCCCCACGAAAATTGAGAAGACCCAAGTCAGGTCATTGCAGATGCAGGTTTCTTGGTGATAAGAACACTTGACTCCCTATTTGCCAAGAGCTTGTTGGGCCGCTGTCTCTTAAGTTGTGGCCTCAGGAGTCCCTTCTGAAGTTGCGTTTTAATTGCCTTTTCCTGTTGACATCACATTGAAGGTGAGAACACCTCTACCTCTAAGCAGAATTTCCTTTCTTCTTTTTAGCTCTTTAGCGTCAAAATGAGATCTAATTAGAACATAATGATAAACTTGAGCTGCCAGTGTCCCCATACCTAATGAAGAAGACACTTTCACTATACATGAATTAATACTTGCAGTTTACGTAAACCAGCAAGGACAAGTAGCTCACCATGAAATGACAACTTTCCTCGAACTTTTCCAAAAAACCACTAACCCATCGATCCGCGTTCTCAACCCACGCACACTGCTGAAGACCCGCTCTTCTTGCAACTATGTCCAGCTGCAACAATCATGAAAATTAGATAACGAAGTCAAAAGAATAAGCCTAAGATGGGAACACTGAACAGAATGATTTTCGCCGATTTACCATACAACGCACCTTTCGCCCAACACGGTCTTGCTGTTCCTTAACTTTCTGCTTCAATTTGCTTATGCCCATATTCACTCTAAGCTGCTTCTCCTGCAATTGACACCAAACCCGGGTTTCAGAATTCGGTGGCTCGAACAATCAGACCCGAAAACAAGCTTTTAAATTCTACGATGTACTATGTCTAATTGAATGATGCATTCTCTTTACAGGAGACGATATGGCGAGGAACAGAGATAGTGTACAGAAGCTGAGCACACAAGTGCAGGATTCTAACCTTTACATAGCTGACACCAAGCTCCTTACGAGTGTAACCACGTGCCAAATTACGCATCACATATTCGTTGTAATCTTTGATGATGCGCATGATCAGATCTGATGTTGAAACTCCATCTGTTCTGTTTGTTTCTCTAAATCTGCCAGCCTTCTTAACCTGTGAAAACACAATCAACATCCAAGATCTCAGAATCGCCAAAACTAATTGTCATGCAAAAGACTAGGGCTTAAGTAACACGGTGACAGAGCTGTAATTGGAAAGCAGGCAAACGGCACTAAGCGGTTGCAAAGTTTGCAGAAACATACGAATTCATACACATCTTTGCCAGATCCAGTTGCATCGGCATACCTGCAAAGAGTAATCGTCAACATCATGATCAGGTTTATACACAAAACCTAACATTCATTATGTACTTCACTGAAAATAAATCCGTAGATGTGTTAGCCACTACATTCCTTCATCAAAAGGCAGAAGTCATCGACTCAAACTCCTCGTAGTAATTTGTGAAGAGGTTCAATTTAGGCTGTACCACTACCTAAGATGCAAGAGACTTACGGGAGGGCATCATGGGCAACATAATCTATGCGATGCTTGTCGAGAAACTCCTGAGTAATCACCCACGGTGCATCAGGTATCACTTCATCCACCCACCTGAATCAATGCATCAATTCAAGACCACGCAAACACAACCTCAGCAACTCATGTCATAGACACGAATTTCCCACAACAAAGCCTTAACTTCTCACAAGATCATTGCGTATCCTCAGTCTTATCATTTATGGGTCTTGATGCTCTCTCTAAACTTGTCGGGACTTTAGAAATACTGAAAAAACCAGAATAGTCAGAAAGACAAAGATGAAAGCAGGAAGCGCATGTATATGTTGTTATAGATTTATGTAGTAGCTTGACAAGACTTACTTGCAATGGCGTAGAGATTCATATCGCTCTGCTTCATACATAACAGTTTTACCCTTGTATTTGTGTGTGAGGGCATCGCTGCAACATCCTACCAGAAGGTATGTATTGGGGAACCTGCAAAGATCACAAAACGAAAATAATGAGCAAATAAAGCCGAGTAATCAAAACCACACTCTAGGTTCTATGCATTCTGAATTGTAGACAAAAAGAATTGGAAGGAATTCTATGTACGACAGCTCAAAGATGTGACCTCGGTGCACGGTACGAAAGGGAATCGAGATAAACAAGGCATGAGGATTGTGGTGTACAACACATCGCGAGACTTCGACGAGCAATTCCTCGGCCCGATGGAACAAAGTTTCCAGCTCTGTGACCTGTGAAAATAGAAGCCTACTGGCGCGAGTGCTACGAAAGCCAAACAGATCTCTAATTACAGCACGCATTTAAGAATAAAATAAACGTGCTATTCAGTCTTGCGATTAGACGAACATGTGAAAAATTTACCCGAATTAAAACGGCCGCACTCGCTTCAGAATATGCAGTAGCAACAATAAGGACACAGCTATCCCAACCCAGACGCGTTTGATTCTTGTAAGCAGGTCTCACCGATCTCCTTCAGCGTAGGGAGAAAAGGTAGTAAACACGAAGTTATCTAAATCCTCATACCATACCGAAGCTGCGAAAGTGCACAATACACAAGAACCAACGAGCTCTGTCCGTGCAATGATTTCTCGGTCCCGACTACCGTGATTTTCAATGCCTCACGTAACCAAGACCAAAATAATGCGGTGACAAAAAATAGCGGCCGCGAAGGGATGAGGGACGTAAGAAAACAGCATGTCCGTGCTCAAACACAACCTGTAATCAAAGTCATGCTAGACAGAGAGGCGTGGCGTGAAAAAAGAAAAATCAGAAAAAAAAATTAATAAATAGACAAAAATTGCAATGCAGCGAAGAACTTACAGCTTCTTGGCCTGCTCGAGAGCGCGAGCATGGCCAAAATGGAAGAGATCATAAATACCATCAGCGTAGACGCGGATGGGAAGTTGCTCCGCTCCATTGCACTGTTCCGGGGCGGGAGAGGGGAGAGGTTCGTAACGCAAAGCAACCGCGTCAGGCGTCTTCACGAACTCCTCCTCTTCTTCGCCTTCCAACTCCTCCTCCCCCTCCTCTCCCTCTTCAAGCAACTCAATATCCTCTTCCGAACGCGGTACTGCCAGGAACCGCTTCTTCGGCCTGCGCGTCATCGCGTCGCGCGTGGTACGCGATCTGCAACCCTTTCCTAACGAATTCCTCCTCCTCCGATTCCTCTTCCTCTTCCTCCGCTCTCACTTCTACCTATCAGTCAAATTCAACCAGCAACGAACGGACACCCTTCGTCGCCGCGCAACAAACCGCCGATGACACCCCGAGCGCAACACAAGCTAGTTATAGAAAAATCAGGAGTGCAAACTTCTACTTCTCCTTAATAATAATAATAAAAACGTGCGATAGGTTGCAGCAACAGCAACAGAGATGAAGAGGCGCACACGTGATCGCGTGGACTACCACTACTACTGCGGCATCTCCATCTCGGAGAGAGCGTGGGAGCGGAAATCTATTCTTCCACCATCGCCGCCTCCCTTCTTCGTCGCCGAAGCCCAGCCCTACACTTCCTCTTCCCTCCCCCGCCTTTTCCCAGCCCCGTCACCCGCCGTTGGATGAATGAAATCATTCGTCTGTGTGGTTCTGATGAATGCGTTGGCTGGATGTTGGATGCATGTTTCTCATCTCTGTATTGGATGGATATGCGAATGGATGAGTGGGTCGGTGGATGGATGGATGGATGAATTCTCTGCAAGTCTGAGTACTCTTGTCGGTATTTTTCTTTGCTTATTGAAATTTTAATGTTGGACGGAAATTGGTTATAATGAGAAGTTGGGTTCTAACAGTGGGAAGATGAAATTTTTTAATTTTATTCTTATCGTATTTTATTCATTTTAGGGTTCAAAATACTTTGTGGTGGATTAATTCACATTATTTCTTTATTTATTTATTTATTTATCCGTATACAGTTCTTTTCATTAGGTCAATTGAAAACATCTTCAGTTCTTTTTTTACTGTGTCAGAATTTAGTTGCAACATTTAAACTTATATAAAAGGTTGTGTATGTGGGGATATAAATATATATATATATATATATATATAACTTTTACATTTAGTTTAAATTTTACAAGTTGTCCTTCTTATGATGTTCTTTAGTTTACTAGGATATAAGTTTTACTTTTTAAAGGTAAAAGTTTTCTCTATTTTTAACATTTACTTTGAACCGTAAATATACAGTATTTTGAGTTATCTCTGAGAAACCAAATTTACTTTTTAGCATTATTAGTAAAATGTAACAATATAATATGAATCAATAACTCTAATGCATGTGTCCACATATGTGTATATTTTTTTATTCATTTATGTAATCAATTTCTTTCATTTAAAATAGCAACCCATAGAAAAATGAAAAAGCAGGAACAAAAATACAGAGCAGTGGAATATATTATAACACTGAAAGGAGTTGTATTACAAACTTATAACATAGAACTTGAGCATTATATGCTATTGCAATTATTCATATGTATATGTGTATATATATATATATATATATATATATATACAGACTTACACAAGAATATTAATTTGAAAATATTACTTGTGTGCACCAAACTTATGAATTATTCCACGGATAACAATGAAAGTTTGATTTATGAGTTACATACTATTAAAGTACTCACAATAGTGTCAAAATTGAATCAATTGAAATACATAATACCAACATTGAAGTGGTTGATGTGATAAAAGACAAGCCATCATTTCATGCATATTTTTCATAAATTAGTTATTATTTGAATACATACATTGTAGAATGAGTAAGATTTTGAGTTAAGGCATTGAAGAAATAAAAGAAATAAATGGGTGCAATTAAAATAATAAAGAATAAAAATACATGTTGAAGAAAAAGAAAAAGCCGGGAAAACTAACATTTGGTTGTAGTTGCAAAAATAATTAGCAAATTAGACGATTCTTTATTATGCAAGTATGCTCCCATTTAGACAAGACTATTTATGAAGTAGAAGTGGCATAATCTTAAGTATAAAACTGGTATTTTTTTCTTACTCTATTTCTAAAAAAATGTCCTAATTCGAACATAATCAGTTAAATTTTATTATTTAGAATCAATATTCCCAAGTTCAGAAAACCAAAGTTCTAATTTATGATTTGAAACCATGTGTATGATTATTTAGTGTTAAACATGCATATTTTAAAGTTGAATGATTTAAAAAGAATATATATATATATATATATATATATATATTTGAAGATTAACATCATAAATTGTAAACATAAGTAAACAAACTAGGTATGATGTTTTTAGAATATTTTAATTAACTTTAGAATGCTAATAGAAGATGTAGTTTGAATTAGATACATGACTGAAGATCGTTCTAATTTGAGATTTTAACAAGAATTAATTGATCACAGTATGTACATTGTTATTTTTATTTTTTTTGAGGTGAATTTGAACAAAAAAACAGTATTTGTGAACATGGTGAATGTTTTCACATGTCACAAGATTCTTTCTGATTCTTCTTATTATCAATGATTAATTTCATTCTTAATTTCATAGTATAAAAAACTCATTCTATAAAAATCTTTTTACAATTAATGTTTTAAACTAACGAATTAAAAAAGATTAATTTTTAAAGTATAAAATATATGTTTTAATACATTTTTTAAAACCAAATGTACATCAACCCTCTAAATAACTTCCAGTATATATTTACTACATTTACACTAAAAAAAAGAAACGTATATATAGTTTATTCAATATATGGTACAAATTCCATGTAATTCTCCCCCTTAAAATTTGGAGTACACTCATAAAATTCCCAATAAAGAATACGAAAATGACTCTATTGTCACAAGAATGGACAAAATATATATATATATATATATATATATATATATATATATGAATAAACTAAAGCACATATTAATTACAATGACTATTCCCTTAAAATTCTAGCTAATTAAAAATTTGATTGATATATCAAACTAATCCTCCTCTGCTTCAACTTCATTACCTTCATTAGCACTTTGATTAGCTGCATATTCTGCATACATTTGATCTTCCTTTTCTTTTTTAAGCTTTTCCTCGGCAGCGAGTTTAGCTAGGTGCCTTTCCATTGTTTCGATTTCATTTATCTCCTTTTCAACCCTCATATCTTCCTCATCAACAATTTTTTTCAATTTTTTATTCAACATTTGAGTCTCTAAATCACATACCATTTTTTCCATTTCTAATGTTGCATATTCCTGTAGATAGACATGAAAATGTTGGTATTTAAACATAACTTTTAGAAAAAACAATTCTTGAGTTGGGTTGATTTGTTTTAATCTTTTAATGAAATTTAAAATTTAGGTAGTGAAAATGTATGATTTGAAGTAAACAAAATAAATAAATATGGTACAATAGAGCAATGTTTCAATTGGTGATACTTTTGATAATTCATCAAACTTGGATTTGATTTTATGATAATTTATTCCGGCTGCAGTGGTTTTCTTGCATGCTAAAATCCATTGTTGAAGCAACTGCATTCAATGTAGATGGTTTTGAATTCTCGATTCACAAGCTTAATAACCATTAAAAAATACATAAAATGACATCACTATATATATATATATATATATATATATATAATTTGAGCATCTTCAAGTATGTTCCATTTTTTTTAAAGTACAATATTTGAGTTAATTACTTTAGTGAGAAAAATTACATTTAAGTCATTTTAACAGCACAAAACTTAATATCAAAATCTTACATCTATTTACAATTAATTAGAACCCTAAAATCAAAGTGTATTTCCGCAACTTTGTAAAGTTATGATACATGCAATTTTTTTGGAAGAAAAGGTTAATATGTAGAGAGAATTTGAAAACAACTTACATAGCCTATACATGCTAGTTCTGATAACTTTTTCTCATTTAGACCCTGCAAATATTAATATTTTTTAGAAATATATATATATATATATATATATATATATATATATATAATTCTTTTCTGTTATTTTTCAAAGCTTTTGAAATAGTACGTAATTTATATTTATTTTTATGTTATGTATATTAAAATGAAACCATTTGTGTAGAAATTGTATGCAACTTTACTCACAATCAAATAAGAATCAACATTATCCCACCGGTCTTGATCAATAGCTTTTAATGGATCATAATCTTTCAAAACCTAAAAACTTGTTACATTAATTGTTACTCAAAAGCTATGAAGTAATGTATGAAAATAAATTTATTTATTTATAAAAGATAGAATAAACATATGAAATTGTTGCAATAACAAGTACTCATGTATTTTAGCACACACTGACCTTATCCAATAAATTTGAATTGAAAAGTTTACGAGCAGTTGCCCAATCATCTATTACCAATTTTTTGTGTCCAAGAAGATGTAATAATGCCTAAAAATTAATAAAAAAATAATAAAAAATAATAATTAGATATATATATATATATATATATATATATATAAACACACACATGTACTTAGTTTGAATAAACATTTTAACTTGAGACAAGAAATCAATAGACATAAACTATTATTTCTACATAGTTGCAATTTTTTTTAGATGAAACATAAATCATAAGATTGTTAAACAATGTAAAAATTAAAATAATCATGAAAAAAACATTTTAATTTTTTTATAATACTTATAAAAAAAATCCAAGTGCAATTACTTTCAAAATTCTTTGAATATGCCTATTTGGATATGGCCAACGTTGCATTTGTTCAAGTTGAGAAATCTGAAACATGGTTTTACTCGGACAACTTAATACTACATACATGTTTCTTTAATTGGTTACATACATATCCATGTACATTTTAATAACTTTTAAAATCTTATAAAAATGTGTTTATATATATATATATATATATAGATACAATCATAAATTAAGAAACTAAAAAGTACACCACATTTCTCTCAATTTCAAAACTATTGATTTCTTTTCTTTGCGACCGTGAAAAAGTTATTAATTTTTTTTCATTGTTTATTAACAACATAATAATAAATTTATTTACTTTGTTTTCTACAATAAGATTATGTGCATTGTGCATATGTTTGCGCAAGTATTCCACAACTCCATTTGCCATGAATAATGCCCTTTCATATTTTTCAATCTTTGGTGTTAGTTTTTGAAGAGCACCCAATGCTTTTTTTCTCCTCCTTTCAAATTCTTTTACACTCTTTGCCATTCCTTTAACAATTTGTTTGATTTCTTTCTCTTTTTTTTCATGGGTTTTCTTTTTATCTTTCAACTTTATCATAGCTTCGGACTCATTTGGCTTTTCAATCCCTTCTTCACCATCAACATTTGGATCATCTTCAACGTTTGGCTCTTCTTTTTCTTCTTCTTCTTCATCTTCTAAAAGTATATCATCTTCATTTTCTTCTTCTTCACTTATTTCTTCATTTTCTTCTTCTTCTTTGATTTCTACCATTGGATTTGGTTCTAATTCTTCTTCAACAAATTCATTTTCATCATTAATTTCTTTGTTTTCTTCTAAACTAGAATTAGGTTTTTCTTCATCTTCATCTTCAATGGGAGGTGACTCTTCTTCTTCCAATTCGTCTTCCAAAATGGGTTCAAGATCATCATCCTCATCACTATCCTCCAATTCTTCTTTTTGTTTGGAATCTAGTTCTTCTTTCTATTAAATTAATATGGAATTAATCAATCTCTTCTATGTAGTATTAGTATAGTATTTAAAATAATAAATTCATATAAATATAATAATATCACAAAAATATTGATTAATTTTATAACAATTACATACTTGTAATTCTTCACCATCTTTTTTTAACATCTTTTTCATTCTTTCTCTTTGTCTTTTTAATTTTTCTTTTATTCGAGCTTTTACGGCTTGATGCTCTTCCCATGCTTTGTGCAATTCATTGAATTGTTTTAATTTATTAGCTTTTTCTTTTACTTTTTTACGCTTGAGAGCGTCAACTTTCTCTTTTTTCATCTGTTCAACTCTTGCTAATTTGATTTCTTTCAATTGATCTTTGAACTTTTTAATTACGCTTGGCGTGTTGTGATGTTTCAAAATTTCTTTGTTGTTTTGGTCCAAAATTTTGCTCATAGTAGAAGCACATGCTTGAAAGAAGTCTAATTCAATTGGTTTAAATGGCCTTCCAGTTCCCGTTCTATCCGATTTTAAAGTATCACAACACAAAAGAGCAATTACTTTTTTCCTACAAAAAGAACATGAATGATTTAGTTTTCTAAATAATAGGATAGATGAATAAACAAAAGAAGGAAGGATCATGTTTATGATGAAATGGTTTTATTATTTTAAACTTTATATCTAAATTTATTTTACCTTGATTTTTTCATATATATATATATATATATATATATCCAATGATATTTAAAATAAAATACTAGAAAAATATGATTGTGTGTTACTGTTTTACAGTATCAAACATCTCCAGTGGCTTATTTTTAAATTCTTCAGATAAATATTTCTTAGCTATGTATTCAATGGATATGGGTGCAACAAAATAAGCTCCAACACGTGGACATCCTCCAAAATAATGAATACCTATTTTAATTCAAAATTCATGGTATTGGAAAATTAACACAATTTATAAAATAATTTTACACCAATATTTAACATCACTTAGTAATTTTACATATTTAAACATGCATATCGTTGGTCACACAGGAAACACATTCAATTTCAAACTAGTTTTCTGTTTCTTAAAACCGATTTTTTATTATTAGTTTTTTTCTCTCTTAAATTAATAGTGATTTAACATTTCATCTCATGCTATTTTATGGTGAATCTACCGTGTCCATTCTCATTCAACCAAAGACAACTCTTTAAGAATAATGATCATCTATACAGCATTTTTATTCAATTTGTTTTTGATGAAAAATGTATATTGTCCATAACCTCCATGTTAATTTTTTTTATAAATAAATTATTTTAAAGTAAAAAATTGGATTATTATCATATCTTTATTTTGTTAAAAAATCACCTTCTTTATACAAAACATTAGGAATATGTAGAGATTGCAGTCCATCCAAAAGCAAAGAGAATGTGACAGGTCCCTAGATCAACACATTAAATTTTATGATATTTTCTAAACCTAAATCACACTCATCTAATCAACACCAATGACCAAAAATATAAATAGAAATAAAAAATCATATGATTATTACTATTATCATTATCATTACTAGAATATTTAAAGAATGAAATTGTTTTTACTTGTTTAATAACCATTTGTCGATTCAACATATGAATATGAGCGGGTGATGTAGCCGCAACATATAAAAGCCTTCTAGATTTGTAATTAAATGGTTTTGGAGCTCTAAATGGTTTAAGTGGGGGTGGCTCATTTTCTATTTTTTCTTCACCATCTCCTTCTACATCATCATCTTCCTCATCAACTTCTTCTTTGGATTCATTGCCATCTTTGTTTCCTTTGTCGTCATTTTTTTCTTCGTCTATTTCCGGAGGTTCTTCATCTATACTTGTAGCATCCGAACCTCCGTCTTCATCTTCATCTTCTTCCTCCTCTTCTTCTTCATCCTCTAAACACATCATATTCACAAAACCCAAAATTTATGGATGTTGTGTATATGAATATGTTGTGTGTTAATATATATATATATATATATATATATATATAGAGAGAGAGAGAGAGAGAATATATAATCATTTTTTATGAAGTATTTATTTCTTCAAAATTTAAATATGCTACTTCTATTGGATGTAACTATTTTTGATGTAAAAATCACTTTTAATTAACCTTCTTCATTTTCTTGGTTCTCAGTTTTTTTCTTTTTTATTGGTTTTGGTTCAAAAATCTTTCTTACAACCACAGCTATATAGGCTGCTTGGCACCCTTCATTAAAAATGTAACAACAAGATAAAAAAATTAATTTCATACATGAAAACTTCATACATCAACAGAATTGAAAAATACACACACACACACACAAATATATATATATATATATATATACACATTACCAATTTCAATTTATTTTGGAGAATTTATATCATGAATATATATAAATATATATATATATATATATATATATCTGGATATGAGTGAGTTAAAATACTATTTTCATTAATTTTTTTCATTTACAATAGAATAAGATTTATTGTCATAATCATGTAATAATAAAGTATACAATTAAAAAATGATAATCTAGAAATGAACAAACAAGTACCGGTGTATGTTGTTATAGATCTCAAACAAGTTTCCCATAGTCGATATGGATCATTTGTGATGGAACTCATGTGATTCAAAGTTGAGTTTTGTTGTTGTTTCAATTCTTGTTCAATCATAAATTTTTTCATTTGGGCTTCTTTCTCATTTGCTTCCTTTTGCATTTGAAGCATCTTTTCATTCTCATAATCTTTTATTGTAATTGCATTGTCGCAATATTTGTGAAGCCACAAGCTTAGGTATTCAATTGGGTCATTGGGTTTATTGATGGTCACAGCCGCACATGCTTTAACTAAAACTTTCCCCATCATTTTATCCACATAATCCGCATCATACGCTTCGTCCCATTTACTAATTGCTGCCATTTTGATGCATTTAATAAATGACCTAATTTAATTTTGAACAAAAATACCTAATCACATTGGGTTTGATATCCATTTCAACTATTTCTGCAAAAAAGATTGAATCTCTTGAATTATCATTATTAAATTGTATTTTGTTGAATTGTTTTAGAAAAAAACTCCAATATTCAAAGTTCTTGTGACCCACTCAAGTTATTGATTTCTTTATGAAATGCAGAACAGTTTCATTATTGTTGTTTTATTGCATAATTTTTTTTGCACTTTCAAAATAGAGATGAAGAGAAAGTTGTCATCTTCACTATTGTAAAAAATATATTATTTATAAACAATACATTAATAGACTATCAGAAATTATACAAAAGAAAGCTTGATGAGAGAATTCCTCAGTTCTATAATTTTAAAATAAGGTTGGAGTTCAAGTTATAATTTGAATTGTATAATTTTTATTTCTTGAGTTATGAGTTAAATTAAAAAGTATTGAATACTTATAATGTGTTTGTGTATGTATGTATGTATATATATATATATATATATATATATATTCTTTTCCATTTTCTTCCTTTTATTTATGTTACAATTTAAGCTATCTGGTTATCAGTTACAAACATAACACAGTATTTCTTGACATGAAATTTCCAAAATCAATTTCATTAAATAAAAGTTAGGAGTTATGAGGTATAAGTCTGTGTTATAAACAATTCTTAACACCTTCATCCTTAAAGTCCAAATGCTCTTCATGCACTAGATTTATTATATCCTATTAAAAAAAAGATAAAAAAGTAATGGTTGAATGTATATAATTAAGAGTTTTATTTTACAAACTTGTAACTTACAAAAAAAATTAAAATTGATACCATCTATTTATTTTTATTTTTTTATTATTTAAAAAAAAACAAATGGAAGTGGTAAAAAATATGACTATTCTGTACACACCACTTGTGTCCAAACCACTTCAGACTCAAAATATTTCATTCATCTTATTGTTCTTGTGAGATCCACTATTAAGATTCCAAAACTAAGTTCAAATCCGAGAATGTGGATCAATTGTTATCCTAATCTAGTTTTAAATTAGGATTAAGAGAATACCAATGGTATACACAGCATAGAGAATACATTCCATATTGAAAACCTTTGACTAATTTTATTCTGTTTTGGTTTCTTTTATTTGAAAATGTACCTTAATTAAATCAATTCTTGTATAAGTTTCTTTACAACAAACAACCAATTTTTATCACCACTACATACATACATCATACTATAAAATTGACTTCTTCCAGGTATATGAAATTCAATATCGTTTTGTTTGGCATAATAAAACAAGTGTCTCCAGATAAATTGAACCCCTGTCAAAATAAAAAAATTCTTAGTATGCATACACAAAGTACACCCATACCATTAAACTGTAAACTTAAATGATGCAAAAAAAAGAAAAAGAAAAAAACGAAGAGTAACATTTTAATTCCACATGAGGACGTGGTGAATCCACATTCTTGTTTCCATCACACTACCATATTTCCTCTGTACAGTTTCTTCCAGCAATAATGTGGTTTTAAAATTTTGTACTTGGAATTTCATGTTCAGATTGCAACGAGCTCATGCCATTGTTATTTACACTTGACATCATTCCCACATTGATGAAACCTAAAAAATATCGACACACTACTATACTGAAACCCAACTAAAATGCAGCAATCCCTTCGTCTGCATGCTGATGAGTCTGTTCTGGAAGCCTTCAAACCACACAAACCACAGCTAAATAAGAATTTGAAAATCCGAGCATCTACATTGTTACGTTGATTTCTTAGTATTGGTTGAAGCGAAACTGTGGTAATATACACAAACACCAGACATTCTCAAACATGGTCCATGTGAGTCGGTTATGCACAAACTAAGAGGTACCCCACAATGCAATCTGGTGTAGTAAGACTACATTCAAATAAGGAGGTAGACTTGCACCGTACAAGTCTAGATTGCTTGCAAAGCCCATTCCCATTCTCTCATGGTCTAGGATACCTGGCAATTCCTTTGTGCTGCACAGACCTTCTGTCGGTGATGAACTTGGTCATCTGCTAAGTATACCTTCAAATTCGTAATCTCGTACCAAGTTCATGAGATGTTGGATCACGGGCGAGTCACTATTAGTTTGTTTTTTCTAACAAATACGACTGGGAAATGACTCCAATATCTGCATCCAAATGCACTCTACTGTAATTATGGGAGAAGATGCATGCACAGTAGAAATACCTTGCATACATCTAGATTCAACTGAATACAGAATGCTAGCAAGTTACACGATTCGGTAAATAAGTTTTGAGTCCAACTCGATTTTCTACTGAAAGAGATGAAAAGTAACTGGAAAAAGAACTGCACAAACTCAGACCACAAATACAAAGCGTGCTGATCTCTGAAAGACTAGTGGCTTCTTCCTGAATACTACCCAAATGATACCCAATTTTTACCTGATATAAATATAAGGACGCGAATGCATCTGTGGCTGCATACTGGAGTTGTGGTGGCGAAAGTGGACAGGCTTCCCAATCTCCACAACGAATATTGGGCACTTTCTCTACCTATTCAATCACTGATTTCAGAAATTAATGTTCCATTTCAATTCATCTTTTAGTCAGCTGCTGACAAGAGCGACGTACACACGATTATTAGAAAGTAAGCAGGACCCTAGAACCGCGACAAAATACAAAACTTTTACGAGTTATTAAACCGTAAGTTTCGGAGGTGATCATGCTTAGTACCGAAATTCAGACCACAAACACAGCACACAGACGTAAAGATGAGGACTTACAACCCACACGACATTCTGGACTTGAGCTGGCAGAAACAGAAAATATTTTGAAAGAAATTTTTTGTCACAGCCAAGAAAGAATTGCATGCGAGTGTCAAGAACTGTGAACTTAATATCTTCAGAAGGCTTTCACAAAACAACAGCCACTTTGTATGTACCACAGCTTTTCTACTCAACTCTCCCAACAAAGGTCTTCAGGTATAGCACACAATAAGTATACAGACCTGTTTACATGTAAGCGCTTGAGAAAGGGAGGAGAGACTCCAAGATTGCCATCTTCCAAGCTTTTGGTTTGCGATTTCAGAGAGGTTCACAACTCCTTGGATTTTTAATTTATAATCTCTTTGCAGCTTTGATACATCTCCGTGTATCCCTACTCCTGTCTACAAATCGATTATCAAGTAAATGTTAATACAGCTCAGCAGCATTATCGCTAGACCGTAAATAGCTCGGCGAATAATAACAATGGAAGATTGACGATATGGGTAGTCACCTTTAAAATTGTAGGATCTTCCAAAATTGCGTAAAGGGATGATGGAATGCCGGAATAAATAATGTGCATCACATCACATCTGCTGTAATCCAAGCATAATTGTATGACCGCCACTTTCCCAGAACCTACATCTGAGACCACACACTCAAGGCTCATTTTCCCTTTTCGTTCAATGATCATAAAACCAACTACGAACCTACAAGTGTGACAAGAACGGAGGTACGTGTAACTAGCGCAAAACTGATGATCGATAATGTGGAAAATAACAAACTTATTTTCATCGTAAAATCCTCTCAATCGAGAAAGCGAGAGCGAGGGAGAATTGCAGTATGCAATCTGGGATCAACCTAATTGAGTGCTATGTAGACATAGAGAATCAGAAAAGTGATTTTTCCAAAATATACCTCTCCGGAAAGAAGTCTTCCACTCCACGTCAAAACCAACTGCAACATTCCCTTCCACGAGTGACCTTTTTGAATTGATCATCTCCCAAATATCATGAACAGCTGCATCAACCTCAGAATGGGTCTTGCTGTACACAAGGCGGCCCTTGAATTGCAGGTAAAGAGCCTTGGAATGAAGCTTATCTAGCAGAAGCACACACATATCAATGTAAATGTTAGTTTTCAACTATGCAAACACATATTGACAATGTGACATGATAATCAATTTGATAACCGAAAGTCTTATCGCAGATCAAGTTTAAAACCAGTTCAAGAGCAAGACAATGGCGAACTAGTATATATACAGTTGAACTCCACATTGAGACGCCTACCATACGCAGTGGGTTGGTAAAATTGGGGCGAAAATCCAATCGTCTAAACTCAGACACAGCACTCACTCTTAAGCAATAATACCTCCACAACCAGGCCGTCCTATCAACCATGGATTCGTCAGCTTGCTTATATTAGTTTGAACCACTGTTGATTTCTCTTCAACCTGGTTTTCTTTGATTTTTACTTCTGATTGTGATGCCTGAACGTGTGTTTTTGGTTCTCTAACACTCTTCTGAGCCCAAGAGGGCAGCGTCCTTCGGAGCCTCTTGGTATGACCATCCAAGACCTCTTGGTTCAATATTTCCACTACTGTCTCATTCTTTACATCCACACTTTCTAGATTTGTGTTTAAAGCGTCCAATTGAAAATTTGAAAGTCCCGAAGACCCAGAAGCCTCGGTCGCTAAACCCTCGCCGTCCGTTTTAGAAACCACAGTATCAATGCATGCCACCTTGAGGACAGTATTCTGCTCATGCTCAAGAGTCGCCGTAACACGGTTGGCCAGTTGCTCGTTTTCTGTACAGCAAGCTCTCGAATCCACCCTGCCAAACATACATCGATTCTTCAAATCATCAACCGCTGAGAGAAGAAGTTAGCATGCGATGCACCCAAACAAATCCACAATACCACACATCCAAGCAGTGTGATGTTTTGATCAGGACAACAAACCCACGCATAAAACCCCGCACGATAAACCAACGCAGCGGCACCATACCTCGCGGAATGCGAAGTCGCTGTCGCAAAAGCTTGCTCGATGACCTCCCACTCGTCGGCATCTACCCACTCCACCGGGATCGAAGTCTCCTCTGCTTCGATCGCCATCAGGTGCACAAAACGCGAATCCAGTCTAAACTAAAATCAGTTTCCTGCCATCGACATTGCTTCAATCTCACAACATCCCACTGCTCCATCTCTGGTTCTGTAAGCAGGACGAAACCTACTCATCCTGCCTGAAAGAGCTCGAAGGAATTCCTTTTACCGGCCCCTGAATGAATCACCCCAGCATCGACTCAAAAATAGCGGCCAGGTTTGGTGGGCCGGTACCAGATTAATCCTATGCTGGGGGACTTCCACATGAACAAATTCCCGACACGCAAAGGAACAAGACGATGCTGACATCCTCCATCATGCATGAACGTAGTTGGGTTACAATCGAATTGGCGTAACACTGATGCACTGCCGCCGGATGAAGTTATGACAAATATCTCCCACCCCCCCCCCCCCATTTTGCGCCTGGACTTTCCTTCATAGACCACGCTCAGGATGATCTGGATTCTGCGGGATCAGAATTGGAGAACTTTTTGCAAGCAAAATGCTGACGGAGGCGTCATGGCCACTTTCATCCAGACACCCAAGAACAATAGTGTTTTCCTCACCCTTTTAACACACAGCTCAAGGAGATGAAAAGAGTACATGGGTTTGCAGGATACGTGGTAATCGGAGAGGAAACAGTATAGACGGTAGGCGGAGAGGGCATGGTTGGTGGTGGGATAGCATTGCTGTGGAAGAATTAGGGGAAAGAGAAGAGAGGAGGAGGGTTGGGCATCAACCAAGCAGGATCATGGTGAGTATGGCGCGATAGAAGAGTGGGTGGGTGGGGGAAGGGAGGGCGGGGAGAGGGGGATTGCGGAAGCAGGTCGAGCGGGAGAGAAAGCGGGGAAAAGGAGGGAAAAGAGTTCGAAGGATTGAGTGATTGCGAAGGGAAAGAGCTTTTAGGGTTTGGGAAACCTTCATGGAGGAAGTTGCAACATGGTGCGGATGGCACAACATGAGTGGCAGCAGCAAGGGGTCAGCAACGCGCGGCGTCGCAGCTTGGAGACGGTCATGAAGGAGCAGCAGGCGCGCACCAAAGTGTCGGTGCGCCATCTGCCGCCGAGCCTGGCGTGGGCTGTGTTCCAGGACCAGATTGCGGTGAAGTATGCGGGGACGTATACTTGGTGGTCGTATCATCCAGGCAAGAGCAGGTAAGGGTCGACATTGGGTCAATTGTTATGGTGCGCTGTGAATCTTGTGTCATGGGTGTGCTCGTAGCGGTGTTTGGCATTAAATATTCTCCCTGCATTGAATTCTGCTCTCGTAGAATTCGAGCAGAGAATAGAGCAAGTGTAGATCATCGTTTTCTGTGACCTTCTTGATCAAGTGGATTCTGTAGATAATTTTTCGAGTCCACGAAGATGTGGATTCGGTAATTTTAACCACGGTAAAGAACAGTTTCTAGCTTTCTATATACGTGACGAATTTGTGGGAAGGATTTCAATGAAGTAGGCAGTCCTAGCATACCTTCGATTAGGTGGTCCTGCGCTGTCTGTTTCTGTGTCGCCCATAGCTCTAATTGCAGGGAAAGCTTCGCGGCCTCGTGATTGTGCAGCTTAGTACTCATCACCTCTACGGCTCTTCCATTAGGTTTGCCTGATTGTTGATCTTGTGAGACATGTAGCTTGTCTTGCCTGTCTTTGACGAGGTAGGCAGTGATTGCCAGTGTCGAGTCTGTTTGTATGCCAGAGACAGTGCTCTTATTGTCTGCCCCCGATGACTCTCTGTCCCAATGCTCGACGTGCTTCCCGTCCAATTCCTTGTATCCGTGGTGTGGTGATTGGCGAAGCACGTTTTATGCTTGGCGATTCTGTGTCAGAAGTTGCTGGATAGACAGTTTTGGCGGTTTCGCAGGTTTTCTTACGGTTGTCCTCAAGTCGAAAACATTTTGTCGGAATGAACTGTTCGGTCAAATGTTGCTGACTGAGGTGGTGTGTTGTGGGCGGTATTTCGTGCAGCCACAAGCGTCAGGTTTATTCGCGTGCGTACATCAATTTTAAGAAGCCAGAGGATGTGATTGATTTTTATGAGGATTTTAATGGACATGTATTTGTGAACGAAAGAGGTGTGACAGTCTCACTCTGGCCTGATTTCATGTTTACGCGTGCAATTGTGGATGTTTCGAAACAGTGAAATTCAGGGTTTTATCATCTCTTCGGGTTTGCACATTTGAAGTTGGAGGGGGGAGAAGCGGATGTTATTTTCCAATATTTTTTGTGACTGTGAATTGCTGGAGATGCATTGATAAAAGGGGTAATACAGGAGTGTGTGCTGTGTGAGCTATGCAAGGTGCCCGGAGTTTGCTTCCATTGGTCTGAATTGTGGCTGACGAACTGTGCTCACTCATGAACAGGGGCTCAGTACAAGGCTTTGGTCGAGTATGCTCCTTACCAGCGAGTTCCCAAACCTCGATCGAAGAAGGATGTCCGGGAAGGCACAATATCAACAGGTACAGTCATGATTGTTAACATGGATGTACCACTTGCTATTCTTAAAATCAAGCCCCAAGTGGACGGGACTGATCGTTACACAGCCGTTTGCCTTTGCCGTGCTCTCGGAACCATGCAGGCTTGAGCATCTGGGTTGACTCTATAAGGTCTGGAGTGGAAGTCGGAGTGCGCTCATAGAGCTTTCTCCTGGTTGTGTAGATCCAGAATATTTGGCATTTGTCGAGCAGCTCGCCAAACCAGCGGAGTATTTGCCGAGTGCTGAGGTCCAGCTGGAGCGCAAAGAAGCGGAGAAGGCTTCTAACTTGGGTAGGGCAGTTAATCACAATTTTCTTCGTGGTTTTTTCGTTGTCTGTTGGATCACTCAAGGTTACCTGTGATCATGTGGATTGTGTGATTAGAGAGTCTTGGAATGGTCATTCTCGAGGTTTCCTTCTTTTTCGCTAGTTAATTCATAACTTAGCCTAAACTTCGGAGGAGGACAAACCTGGTGTTGGCAGGAACAATTTAGAGAGTCTTTGGCTGATTTTGGTACGTTGGTACTGAATCGCTTTATTTTTCGTACTTTTGAAGCGTCTGGGACGAGTAAAGATGCCGTGGTGGTGACACCTTTGATGGAGTATGTGCGATCCCGAAGGGCTGCGAAATCAACACCTCAGGTAGTATGGCAGTCTTTTGTGAAAGCGTTGGACACGGCCAGACGAGATCAGAGGGGTCAACTGGACGCGTGTGGTAATGCGTCTCGAACGCATTGTATAGTGTTTGTACATTAATTCGAGAACTGCAATTTTGATATTAAATGGCCATTATTCCTTTGAGGTTAGTAATGTGAGGTCAAGCTGGCAAGCGGCTAGAGGCACGCATATTTGTCTTGAGTCTGACGCATTTTGTTTGGGTTGAGGACAGAGAGGGATGTCATCAAGTGCAAAGCTGGCTGCTCGGTCTGGAGGTGTACCCGTCAGTGCTTTCAAACTTGCAACGCAGAAGCGTGGCTCTGAGAAAGGTCGGTCTGGATCTAGTTCGGTAAGTAGCATTTGTTCCTTAGAGTATTGGAGGTCACTCTGCTATTTGACGCGCACACTTCTTTTGATGACTTTTTTCTGCGATGTCTTGTAGGTGGATGGTCTTTTGTTTTTGTGAGGCCAATAAGATGGGGACGGACGGGTGTTGTATGTCCAGTTAACGACGAATTGTTTATTTTTGCAGTACACGGGTGATAGTGCATCGACCACCAAAGAGTCTGCCAATCACAATTCTGCTTCTCGAGATGAGCTACAGCGAAAAGAAAGGGAACATCTGATTGAGCGGAAAAGAAAAGAAACAGGTGAAGGGAAAGAGAAGAAGTCGGTACGCGAGGCCGTTGCAGCTGCTGTCCGAGCAAATTCAAGTAGTCAACGAGGAGAGTTCAGCAAGGAGAAGACAATCCTCCTAACCAAGGACATGTCCGAGGCACCATCTGGTACGTGTACAAGGAATGAGCAATATCGTCAGAAGCCATGTTTTTTTTGGACAGCCAGTGACTTATGAACATGGTTGAACGCTAGAGGATGGTGGTTATACACTGGTCGCCTGAATGTGTTGGGGGTGAGCACTGTGTGGCTGGTTTGTGATCTCGGGAGGAATAGCTGAAACTTATCCAGATGACCACAAATACTTTTTGTGGTTTCTAAGCAGTACGAGGTAGGAGTTTGTTTGTAATAGTCTGCATGGATTTGCGGTTGCAGAGGGGCGAGCGTTGCAAAACATCTCAGCGGGTGGGGAATCCGGATCAAGAACATCTGTAGCCGGGAAGGTTTCTGCGGTGAATGGATCAGGTGAAGGTCTAACAGCTGGAGATGTCCGGGAACCGCACAAGCGGGAGTACAAACGCAAACAAATGCTGGTGGCCAAGGACAAGGACAAGGAATTGGCAGTTGTAAGTGTAGATGGAACATCAAAATTTGATTCGTGCATCCGATAGTTGTGCCGTCCACATATGACCAAAGTCCCACATCCATTACGTGGGTTTCTGAGTGCACGCAGCACTTAAAGGTTTACTGTTGTTGTATGGCGCATGATCTTATTGGGAATCGGAGTGTGTCTGGGTAAAAATGAACGCGGCGAGTTTCAGAAATCACACTATATTCAGGTTCACAAATTCCTGAAAGGCTTGTGTTGTGTGATCAGGATCCCGAGCAAGCGGTTTCTGTAGCGAACTCCGTTGGTGTTGGTACGACAAACAATCAGCGGCATAGGTCATCTGGACCTGCGAAGGTAGCAGCAGGAGGTGTGCAACAGATGCAGTCTGCGGTTGCTCACCGTGCAACATCTCTTGGAGATTCCATTTCTTCTGGGAAGCAGATCCATAGGCAAGAGTACGGAGGGAGGACCTCTCTACGTGGTACACCAGCACAGGGTAGTTCGGCACCAGGTTTAGGTTCGGATTCTCATGCACAACCCCAGGCAAGCGGCACGCAGGTGGAAAAAGTGGGTAAACGACCTCCACGTCCTCAGGCGATACGATTGGCTGGTAAAGACCAGGCTATTTCTTTGGTGTCCTCTGTGGAAGCGGAAGGTCAAGCAGGCAACGGTGAAGAAAGGTCCGTGAAGCAAGTTGCAAATGATGGAGCTGCGTCGAGCCCATCGTTGTTAGACAAGCAGGACGCGAGACGCCTTAGAAACAAGGATAGGCCTGACAGGCCCGTGTGGACCCCTCGTCGTCGCGAAGGTGTGACGGGAAAGGCTGATGGAACAGCATTTGCAAATAGCCCGGCTTCAGCAGCAGGTACTGCATCAACGGAAGGCACATCGTCGACTGCTTCGTCTGGGACGGATGTGGGTTCCAAGAACGATAGGGCGGAGCGATCAAGTGGAAGACACAATGGGAGATCAGGTTCCGAGGTGCGGAGTTCAGAGCCCCCTCAAACGTCAGGTGAGGGATGATGCAGCAGCGATTTCCGGTTTTGCACCGGTGTAGAGAGTGGACTGCTAATGGATAATGCCTGTTAGGTTTTATGGCTGTGTGGATGCATATCCTTGTTGGATTCTACAGACTATTTGTGGAAGGTTGTTTTGTCCAATTATTTGAGTTTGGTGAGGGGAAGCTAGATTTTGGAATGTTGGGTAGCTCCTATGGCTTCGTGTAACATTTGATTTGACGATATAGGTGGCGGCGGCAATGGTACATTCAGCAAATTGCGTTATGTGGAGACAGGTGGTCGCATTCCACGCGGTGGGCGAACTGTTGCAGCCGTAGGATCTCAGGCTGCACACGACGGAAGTCGGACGGATGCAAAGAGTGTTGGCGCAAGCGATGATGTCACTAGCCAGTATGGGAAGCAGGGTCGGGATAACGGAGAACCTTTTGTGCAGAGCCAAGAAGGGCAGCAGTCATTGGTGACGGAGGACAGAAGGAGGCAGGGCGGTTCCTTTTGGAGTGAATCTGGTACGGTATCGCCTTGCACGCAATTCTTGAAGGGAAATTTGGAAGGTAGTGGTAGTGGTCGTCTACGTGGGAGGGTTGGAGATGGCAAACTGCAGCTGGTTTGGTAGACGGTCATCGGTGTGATGATTGGGTTTGCGTGGTTTGGGCTGGAGTTTGTGGAGCTGTAAGCGTGCCAAGCACGTATCAGATGAAGAATTTAAGTCGTTGAGCGTCGATGTCGGTATTGTTACCGTTCGGTGTGACATGCAGATTTGATGATTTAACTCCCGGAGTGCTGGACTGTTGTTTGCAAGCCAGGTGGAAGTCACAGGCAAGGAGGCAGACGTGAAAGGACTGGGCAACAAGGAGCTAAAGAAGGAGACGGCGGGGTTGTGGGGACGGAAGCGGCAAGCAAATTGGTGAAAAGAGGTCGAGGTTCTCCAGCATCGGGAAGCAACGAGGTGCGCTAGAAGTCCATTTCTATTGATTTCGCATGGACTGACATAACTGCAAGTCAGCGTAGAAATATGAGGGATTGGAGAGGTGTTTGGCGGTGTCAGCATAATGATGGGGAGCTTGTGGTGTGGAACAAGACACATGACCTTCCGCTGGTATTGTGTAGTCTGCATTCATACAAAGCCAGCACTTTCAGTGGTATTGTAGAATGTATGCTCTAAGTTGAAGCATGATTTGATGGTTTCGATACTGTGAGGTAGATTGTGGTTTCATTGTGAAGGTGGTTACATTCGTTTCTCTCTTGGAAACGCTGCGGTGGAATGATAGAGCTCTGGTTAAAGGGCAGAGAAGTGAAAGAGTTGATTGCAGGCATTTTGCAAGTAAAAGATCTTGGGTTTGTTGAATACGTTATTGTAGAGTGGCTTAGTGGATGGCTTTGTTGCCTTGATACAGAAGCAAGTATGGGTTGCCGTTCAAAAGACAGTTTCGGGATGATAGTCTTATGTCTATATCTGGTAAGCATAGCAACTGCATCTAGTGGTATGTGTTGTGCGGATTTTTTTTTTATAAGAGATTTTTTGAGTCAATGCGGTGGGAATATGTGTAGCATTTGTATGTATGCACTCGGGAGCCTTCGTGTGAGTGTTGAGTTTCCATTGTTGCAGGCTTTCCTTGTCCTTCCAATTCAGTGTACAGCGGTGACGCTCTTGAGGCGACACTGCGTAGAACCTGCACTTCTCATCGGTACAGTTCTGCAACAATGGATTGCAGAGGGCTCTGTCATGTAGGTTGTAAGAAGAGTCAACGTTAGGTGTATAGAGGAAAATAGTTTTACATGTTTTTGATGTTTGTATCTTTTTGGATGGCGGTGGTGTCGGGGTTACTTGCAGCATGGATGCGGAGCAGAGTGGAAATTACGAACGGCACGGTGCTGCTAATACCAAAAGGAATACCATTAGCTTGGTGTGAGAAGACAGTGATCCAGAAAACATCAGATCCCGCATGTTGCAGAAGCGGTAGAGACTTCAACACAAGACAATCCAGATATGGAGGTTTTTTGGACACGGAAGTTTTCACAAGACAATTTGTGGCAACTTGTCTTACAGAGAGTTTTGATCATCCAGTGTGTGAACATTTTTCAAACTCACTTAGTTTTGCATTCCGTTTCCGATTTTTACGAAATCAGGCGTTATCATTCCCGGTTCTAGGAACTTCACAGATGAGCTCATCATCTGGGCCTAGATTTGAACTTGTGACAGTACTTAGAGCCGTCGGGATGAATCAAGCGACTTATTTGGTCTTTGCTAACGTCGTCTACGCTAACGGAGTATTTGAAAGTTGCCCAGGGATGTGAACATTTTGGAAATTCGGAAAATACTCCCTGAAAGGTTGCATTGAGCTTCTGTAATTTGAGGGCTTCAATTGATAGGAAATTTGTATTCGATAGCAGGAGCAGTCCAGTGGCAGTGGTGTATGATTGGAAGCTTCTCGTGTTGTTGGATTAGTTTTGGATCACTGTGCGCAAGATGATCGATGTAATTTGCAAGTGTAAGCAATACAAGTGTTGTGTTCTTTGAACCGTCCAGTCAACGGCCAATATCTAGATGGCAACTCATCACTTTGCTTAGTGGTAAGACCATATGTTTTTGGAAAGACTTGAATATGATTTATAACATGAAGTCCAAGAATAAAGTCATCCGGCAGGGTCAAACTAGGTCTCCTTGTGAGAGGAAACCTGTAGGGCCCCAGTTGACTGTACCACATTGTGCTGGTCTCCACAATTTTCCTACTGGACCTAATTTTCTATGATTGTGGCATGTCGAGCTTGATTTGCCACGCTTTCTGTGCACTGTTGTAACTTTTACATCAGCCCCAGCCTGTCCACATTGGTATCGTACCCTCTTGAAACTTGAAACGTCTGATGGATCGCGACACTTATATTGCTTTCAATTGCAAACCTCGAGTGTAAAACGATTACGTTAAGAGACCAGTCATTTGATCGAAACAAAGTGATTTGCGCCCTGGCTGAACTTGATGAACTTGCATCCCGCATTTCGTTGTAGGTGAGACTTCGTGTATCGATGACGTCAATTGATCGGCGCACCAGCCAAGCACGTCGTCATTCACACAAGTGCATGAGTGGAACCTTGTCAAATCAGAGAAGCTTTTTGAAGTCCAAGAGTAAGAGTTCGTTGTGATGATGATTTAATGTAAGAGAATTATATATCTATCTTTATTGCCACGCAGTTGAGTATGGAAGAAAAAGCAATCCTCAATCTTGCGCACGTGCGTGCTCCCACCGTCTTCAAGGTAGTAATGAGGGACCCAAGTTGTAAATTGTGTCTAGGGCTTAAAATTCTTATCAGGCAACGTTGGTGGATCTGACCTTGAGAAAAGTACAATGACCTCTTGAGAAAAGCCAACAATAGCTTAAAAGGTCACGCTACAGAGACCCCACGCTCCGAAGAAGCCAAACAAGCCCCACAGTCTTGGAACTCCAATATTGGCATAGGCATTTCCAAAGTAGTCCAAATAAAAATCATCATCCAAGTCTTCGTGTTTTCTTGTTTGAGTTTTCACTAGGAAATGGATGCACTATAATTAATTCAGTTCGGCAAGCTCCTCCCTCATCATGAATCTGCGAATCCTGCCCACCCGGGAGTCTACCGGGGGCCACGCTGTAGTTGTGTTTTGATGCAGTAGGAAAAATTGAAAACTGCTTGATCTCACACACCTCTGCAGCCTGCCCAACCAATAGTTCGATAGTCGTGAATGGAAAGTTCACTGACTAAGCGTTTCTGAACTTTCGTACGTCGAGAACTTCAGAAACCATGTTGACCCAAGGCTTCAAGAACTTTGCAAAGTAGCGGACGCAAGACGCATGAACTTGCCGCTTGTGTGGCTTGCAGCGGGTGTGACTATGATGGACAATTGTTTTCTACTGTGGATATGATAGACATGTGGGCTCAGAATTTCGATAAACCAAGTAAGACGCATCTGAGAGGAGTCGTGAACATCGTAGATTGGAATAGCACAACATGGGTCAACTGATCTGACGAAATCTGGTCTGTTTCCACAGGTTTCCTTGAACTTTCACACTTCCTTTGATTCCTTGAACGTCGTTGGAAGCTTTAGTTACTTGATGTCGATTTGCTGGTACAAAAGCAGTGTTCCATCTTGGCACGTAATGGTACAAACTGCCATTTGAATGTTACACCTCAGGTATATTAAAGCGATGATCTCTACCACTATAGGAGAGCTCAGCCTTTGGTTAATGAGCATCCAGATCACTTCTCCGGCTAATTGAGATTTGACTATATTTCACGGAGTCACTTGAAGCAGATCCAAACGCCGAAAATTCCAAAGTTAAGGTCTCAGTACACACCCGTAGGCCGCAATTTTCAAGCTCAACGTATGGGAATAATCACGAACAAAAAAAAAAAAAAAAAAAAAGAAAAAAGAAAAAAGGAAAAAAACTTTGTTCTCACGACCTGTACGGTCACCGAAATGCTCTCGTCACGGGCGCGATGGCATCTTCTGTTGACCAGGAACCACTCTGCGCAGTTTCAAAACCCACGGATTAAAACACCGGGATCTCTGCAAGGCCGCGGGTCCAATCTCTTCCACTGCAAAGCGGTACCAACATCTATGAAACGGACGAGTCTTTCCGCACGGACTAGCTTCATGGAGTGATCACCACGGCATGGATTGCGTCGAACTGTGGGTAATCAAACCCTGGGGACGCCCACAATGCCCACCAATCTTACAGCCCGAGTTCGTGAGGGTTGAATCTGGCTGGGTTCACGTTGAGCGGTGCAGCCGGAGACTAGCCCACATTGTAATGCCACGGTGAGGGTCCGATTAAGAGGGTTGCGAATTTCTCACCTTCGAAGAGCTGCGGTGAGTTTTAAAGAGTCCTGGTGGGGCGGCGAGGCTGGAAGTTACCGACAGTGATGATCGGCGCTGCCTCGTTCGGGTCGGTACCGACACCGCGGCGATCTCTTCGGGATGTTTGTTGTATTCTTTTCTTTCTCTACATATATTATATATAACGAAAATATTTCTTGCATAGGCTGATGTTTGTTTCAATGAACGGGGTAACGGTTGTAGTGAACTCCAATTGATATTTCAGTTTGGGCTTTGAGAATATTTTTTCTTCATTTTTGGAAGCCGTAATTAATATTTTGCTTAGTTTTGTGGAAACCCTAATTAATATTTTGATGTTATGTAGATGTCTTGCTTGACACATCTCGAGGTATTACCCCAAAGTAGATTTTTGACCCATGAGAGGCCTTGGTCTCTTCATTGTTTATGTTTTGCACAAAATTTGTCTGCTTTTTTTTATTTGTGTATAAAATTGATATTGACTATTCAATCCTGGATTTTTAATAATTTAAAGCAGCTCTGTATTAAATACATATTTGTTATGCCATGACGTCCTTTGAGAAAGTTTGTGGTGTGGGATTTTTGATTGTGCATTATTGTTAAGGATTAAAAATTATTAGATTGGTGTTTTAGAATTTGAAATTTCTTTACAATGTGGGGTACATTAAAATGCTTAAAAATATCCAATCATTTTCAACAATGTACAATTAAATTAAAAGGTTTTGAAAGTGATCCATATTTCTTTCTCTCTATAATCAAACACAAAATAAAAAAATCATCGTTGTTCCACCAATAAAACACATGTTTCTATCGCATCAAAAGTATTATGTTCAATAAAAAATAATTAAAAGATTATAATATTTTCAATATCTCAAATTAAAATTTAAACTCAGAATGACATTTAAACATGTCTTTAATGTTTAAATTATAAATGTAAATTGATATTAATCCTTCAAGGACTTTAATTTACAAAATAACTTTTTGTTTCGGACAAAACAATCTTTTCCTAACTTTGACATTGTTGCTTACAAATTCTCTCATCCACATGCACAAAACTACTAAGATTTTTTTTCATTATAAATTGAAAACAATATTTTTTGGTCGTGAAAGTTGAGAAGAGGCTCTAAAGAGTTGGTCAAAGGAAGTATAGTTGTGCCATGAAGCTAAAGATACACAAAAAGTAATGAGCCAATTTAATGGGTCCTTTTGGATTGACAAAGACTACCTCCAACCATTCCCATGACTTCATAAAGGATCTCTTTCCATCCTCAAATGGATATATATATATATATATATATATTACTATGGATTTTTTCATGTTTGCATTTGTTTTAAAGAAAATCTTGTAAAGTTTTTATATTTTAATGCATGGGTATATATATATATATATATATAATGAAAATAAAACCATGTATATATATATATATATATATATATTCTTTGTAAAGCTATCACTGTTGTCATGAGTCAAAGTATCCATTTCTTTAAATGATGCTTTCACAAAAATTATGAGGAGAAACAAAAGGGTTTGGAGTCTTAACTTTTTTTTTTTTTTTTTATAAAGTATGATATATGACAAAGATTACAGTCATAATCTCACGTGATTGACTTTAAATTAGAATCTTATTTGTAATACATATTTTTCTTTAAGATATGAAATTTTGAAGGATCACAGCAATTGCAATTTAAAAATAAAAACAAAAATAGCATCACCCAAATATTAATACTCCAATGATTAGGAACTGGATTATATTATAATATATAATAGAATGCAAAAAAGAACAGTTGGGTATGTATATATATATATATATATACACACATACGGCTACATGTTTTTATACATTTTTTTAAAAGTAGTGTATATTTATTTATTTATTTATTTTTGTGTAATGCCAATATTCTCAAGAAAACATCTGTTCACACTAAAAATATACACACTATCACTATGAACATTACTATCAAATGTACAAACATCCCACACAATATTCACAAAAAACAAACAAAAGAAAACTTGCTTTCAAAATACTTGAATGGTTTAACTCAACAACCAATGTACACAACGAGTTTTTTCACACTTATCAAAGTCCACATGCAAGCCAAGGTGTTTGTGTCTGTGAGTGCGAGATGAGGTTGCGATGCAATCGCAGTCCTGGTTTCCGTAAGGGTCGTGTTGTCCATGGGATGTTACCAGGAGTGTTGTCGATGCTTGTCCTCCAACCGGAAAGGCCTGTAGATGCATGAGTCGAATAATAATCTGGGGACTGTCATCGTCTTGTTGCAGTCATCCAGGTTTTCCTCTTCATAGGAATCTTCCCGAGGCGCTGGTTCTATTAATCCACCTTGGGCATGTAGACGTATTGATGAGAGCAGAGTTCGAGGGTCCGGAGGGGCCGGGATGAAGTGTGGCTGACCCTCATCGTGGGACACTCTCCGTTCTGTCTTGGCCACCGATTGCTGGAGAAACAAGCGGTAGACAAAGTAGAATGACCTTTAGAGTTCGTAGTGATAAGCCGACCTGAATCAAGGGGCTCGTCATGTCGGAGCCACAAATCTTATCGTTGCGCAAATTGACCCGGGGGAAGCCCGAGTTCACGTAACGCTGCGACCAGATCGCCCCTAGCAGGGATTGTTGAATAGCCATTGGATGTAAGACCACGTAATGTCAAATGTTGAATAGTGGACCTCTATTTCCAGTTTCTTTAGTCTGATCTATTTCCTTGTATCGCGGAAGTTCGCTTGAGTATGCTTGGGAGATTTTTTTTCTTTTCCTACAGCTGCTGTTGGGGAGCTTTTCTGGTCCATAAAGTGGGTCTGCCTGCAGTCTGTCAGTAATTCCTTCAGCGCAGGCTCTATCTTGTCCTATCAATCGCGGAGGAACTCTCGTGGAACTTATTGTCAGGATCCGGTTACGGGAAGTCTTCTAGCAGTCGAAGGTGATGTGTACTTACTAGGGCTGGGTTATCCAACTGCCAGAGCATCAAGACTAAAATCTTCCTGCCAGCTGCTTGTTTATGGAGCATTGACAACTCTCTCTCTTTCTCTCTCTCTCCGTCTCTCTCTTTTTCACACCCGTCGCCTTGTGGACCACCCTTCCTAGGTTGCATAAATACCTCTGTGTCTCTATACCTCTCTTTCTCAAGCTTCCTCACTGCATGTGTTTCCTTGTGGTAGGTCGAGGTAGGGCTTTCCCTTGCCTTTATTTCCAACTGTAACGTGTGATAGGAAAGAGTTGACAAGCAATCGTCAATTGTGAGAGTTCATGATGTTGAGAAGTACTTGAGAGCTTTTGGACGTCTGTTACTTTACTTTTGAAAGGATCCCGATAGCAGGCTTGGCTACTTAAGAACTCTGAGCTGAAACCACATAATTTTCCAATTTGCGTGGCTTCGGACGTATTCGGGAATCTGAGGGCTGCTTTTCAGGGACATCAATAGAAGAGTTGTACTTGTTGGGGGAATCTTGCACTTAAACGCAGCGTTTAGAATGATCACTCCTGGGTGTGAAAGGAGTTGTGGACGGCGAACTGGATAACCAGTCTGCGAATTTGGGCTTGTCGTTACGCGAAGATTGTCGAAAAGGAAGGTAGTATGGCGGATGAAGTAGTCTCTGTGACAGTGAAAGAGCATCCATCGACTTTGCGCTCGCCATAGGCTTCCGAGTCGTGTTATTTACGAAGACAGGTCTTCAACAACGTTGGTTGTAGTCGATGATCTAGATCATGGGATCTCCAAGCGGTGGAGTTGTTGAGAAGGAAGAGGAGAATAGATTCGATAGTATGCCCATGACCACAGCAGTTGTTCAAAAGCAGAGCGGCAGCAGCGGTAGAGTTGACATGGTGCGAAAGATAGATTTATCCCTCAAGCTAGCCGAAGACAGTGACGACAAGGACGAGGAGATGGAAAGTGACGAACATGAGTTAAACACCCAGACGCGGCTGGATCATCAGATGTGTAGCGTCGAGGATACAGGAGCCAATAATCATCCAGTTCAGATTCAAGTGTCGCAACAACACTCTGATGATGGATATGCCTTCACATGCGAGGTTAAAGGCTGTGGAAGTGAGGTTAGGGAGAGAGATCACTTGGTGGTCGACAGCTTGACGCAACGCGATAAAACTGGCAGTGATCGCTCAACAGTGGATAACGAATCGCCTCCCCCTTCACCCGTTGGACTACCCGCATCTGCCGCTTCCAAGCTCAAAGATGAGGTTGCACATCTTTCTATGTTGTATTCTATGTAGTTTGATTCCAAAAAGGTTGCCCTGTGACGTGCTTCTGTTCCTCCATCAGTGCATTGATATCTTGTTTCGGCACTATGTATCAGGTTTCGGTTATTGAATACGAATTTACAGTGTAGTTTTCCGCTAGCTCTGGGTCCGAGATGGAGCACAGCAATGCTTGGTTGTTCCAAGAATGTTTTTGGATACTAATAATTAGTGTCGTAAAAAAATTGCAGTTGATCGCAGCACGAACCGAAATTACGCGCCTGAGGCAAGAAAATGACCGATTTCGTTCTGTGTTAATGCATCTTACGATGGAACACCACAATCTTCAGATGCTTGTGGTTGCTTCCATGCAACGGCACAGCGACTCTACGATCTATCCAGTCCAAAGTCTCCTGACACAGGTTACACACAGCTCTTCATTGATTTTAGCTGTTTTAAGCTTTTTCTTCTGCGATGGTCTTTTTTCATGGTTTTCTTTTCTTCAGGATTTGCATGCGACCAGGATTGTAATTCCGTGTGGAAATAGTGGTTTAAAGCGTGGTCAAGTCGGCACTTATTAGAACCAACTAATATCTTATCTGCTACTATTTGTGCAATACGACTTTATTGATCGTTCTTATCCAAATTTTGCTTCAATTAAATCATCATGTAAATTAGGCTCCCTAAGTACCTCATACATGATACGAATCAACGAGCCGTGTCAGTGAAACTATTCTAAACAGTCGCCAGCATCTGTCCAGCAGATCTTTACACTTTAACCTTATCAATCTTCCTTTTACGAGGAATCCTTCATACCACATGAAACATAGTTCATTAACAGACCACTGTTACTTTTGTGTGCCTCAGGATGCCTCTTCAACGCCAGCGGCTCATGGAGCATTGACATCGAGAAATTCAGACAGAGAGAACTTGCGGGCTGGGAGTCCTCTCAAGTCAACAGTTCATGTGAAGATTGCGAAGCACATGGGATTAGTGCATGCCCTGAACAGTCAGGTACCTAAGGTCGAAGTCACAACGCGTTCTAGGCCCAGAACCGGATCAGCATCTCCTGAAAGATCAACATCGCCAACCGAGTCCCTACAAGGATGTCCTCCTATGTTGCACCCTCCATCTCCGGCGGAGGAATCTGATCAGCCCCGAAAGCGAGCATCAGAGCCGACTGAACATAAAGCTAATAAGTCAATGAAGCTGGCTCAGAATGGCGCGCCTTCTGATGTGCCGGTCACCCAGGTCGAGGGAGATTCCAACTTCAGGAAAGCTCGCGTGTCTGTCCGGACTCGATCCGATGCTTCAACGGTGAGAACTTGGAGTTCTTTAAATACTTCAACAGCTACTCTCATCGCATTGCTTTTGTAGCTTCAAAGCCAGCTTTAAGCAGTTGATATGTGTAAGTCCCTGGATTAACATGGTGAGATATTTTGTTTTCAGATTAACGACGGATGCCAGTGGAGAAAATATGGTCAGAAGATGGCTAAAGGGAATCCTTGCCCTCGCGCATATTACCGCTGCACTGTTATGTCTGGCTGTCCAGTTCGCAAGCAGGTGCAAAGGTGCGCCAAGGATACCTCTATTCTGGTTTCCACATATGAAGGAACCCACAACCATCCTCTGTCGACCGCTGCTGCAGCGATGGCTTCGACCACCTCTGCCGCAGCTTCGATGTTTCTTGCGGGCTCTACCTCTTGTGATATGACATTCATGACCTCGGCACCTCAATTTATGCAAATGGCCGGCTCTCAAGGGCCGAACCCTGCAGCTGTTCCGACAAACACTGCATCCGCTTCATTCCCATCCATCACTCTAGACCTGACGAACGGACCCATGAATCAACTAGGTTTAAGACTGACTAATAGCTCCGGCTCCACGACTACGAATCTGCAGCACCTTCAGGGTGTAATCACGAATGGAGTCGTGACCTCACAACGTGGCAGTCAACAACAATTCATGACTGTCCCCAAACAACCCGCCACAGGAAATACCCCAATGTTTCTCATGAATGGAACAGCTGGCGCTGCCGTGGTGACCAACTGTGCACCACTATCGAATTTAGGCAGCGCTTTCTCCCCAGCAGGCACTCTGAGCAATCAGTTCATGCAACATCATCCTAGTGTGGAATCCTCGAGTGGGGTATTTAGTAAGCACCCTGCTGGTCCACAAACACAAGCGTTGCAACCGTCTTTGGCGGAGTCCGTGACGGCAGCCACTGCAATGATCACCTCCGATCCGAAATTCACCGCTGCTCTGGCTGCCGCCATTACCTCCATTATAGGCCAACAGAACCAGAATTCGCGAAATCAGTTCTCTCAGGTTGTGGGAAATCAAACCAGACAAGGGCAACAGAATGCATCTTCGCCTCCATCGGCATTCACCACTGTTGCACCGAGTGGCTCAGTGGTCAGTCCACACTCAAGTGCCGCGCCTGGAGAGGCCGCTCTTTCAACCGTTCTGAAATCGGCTTTAATGTCCCTAACCAAGGATCAGCCAGCAAATGGACTGTTCAATAGTGTGAAGCCCACTCCTGGGCACGGATTTGTTGTGGCCGCCGTGCCGAACAGACGACCTTAATCACAAACGAAATTTTATTTAATTCTCTTGTCAATCGGCCTTGAATTAAACTTTCGTGGTTTCAGTCGGCGGAAACAACTTTGCCTTGCCTGGAAAGAGATTACATTGTAGTTGGTGTTTCTGAGGCTCAATACCCATCGGCAATTGAATCAAACGAAGACAGTAAGATGCCGTCCACACGATGGACTGAAGGAACTTGTGAACAAGCCACCAAAATCTGAGCTCCTGCAAGATTCTTTCAAAGGAGAAAGTGGGTATTCTCACTTTAAATCTTGTGAGCGACCTTCCGATCCTTTTCAGTAACTTCTGGTCCCGGAGAATCAGTAAACAGAACGGATCAAACCATGTAAAGTGTGTACGATAGAAGCAAGACTGTTTCAGGATTGTTTTTTTTAACAAATAAACTGGACGATTTCATTGCTTGAGGTTGACATCATGCCACAATTTTAATCATCAGTGTAAAGCGCAGTAGAGCCCAGGTGATGCTGAGTATTGGGCTGAGGTGGATGATGAATCGGTACTTGAACACAGTCTACTTGGGTTTGACCATTGTAACAAATAGTTTACTTTTATTATATGGTGGGATGAACGCTTTAAATACTGATTCCACTGTAGATTTCGTTGCCTCTGACCGTCACAGGGTGCATGCCGTAAAAAAAGGAAATGGGTGGGTCCAACTGCCCCCGATGCAGGTCGCAGAAAAGACGCTTTCTCGCGTTCAGCCTTGAACTACTAACACGGCGTCACCTTTTGTGGACTTGTGCAGCGAGAATGCTTTCACGCACCGTCACGGCCCATTGTGTGGATGTAGTTTGGAACGACAAAATTTCGAAGAATTATGCGAGGAAAATTATTCAGATCCTCAGACAAGACCATCACTGATACATTCTATTCTGAGACCTTCTTTCTCAAGGATCGTTTCGAAGCATGATGGGTTGCTAGTAGAATTCGTAATAGAAAAATAACCTAGGTTTTTAGGGCAATTTCAGAGATGCTTTTAAAACTATCATATTTACAAACAAAAAAAAAGGGGGAAGAAGAAAGCAACATTGAGAACGATCTAATTTTTTTTTATATCTGTCAAAAAAAAAAAAAAACAACAACAACAACAACAACAACCTCTGGCAACGTTGTGAGCTGAGTAAAATTTAGGTTTGTAGCGACTCGTTCTGGCCCTGTGGCATGCATACTGACCTCATGCGTACCGAAGTGGCACATTCAAAAAAAATTAAAATGACCCCATGTACAAGCATCCTTTGGAACTTTCTGCTCATGTCTCAATCATGAGCGTCGAGAATCTTAACAAAATTAATGGTGAAGCATCAACCTGAAAGATCGAAGGCTACTTCGCAGTCTTCAAGGTCTCACAAAGTCTGATGATAAAACCAAGAGAGGTGAATTGATCAAGGACTCTAGCTTTCAGTCCAGAGCACTTCCAAGCGCCGGCCTAGCGATGCATAAGACACCGTAGTCACAGTTACCTGGTTCTAAAGCATCACCTGGACTGCATCGATATTGGGCAGAGGAATGTGTTACATGACAGGTTGGAATGGTAACTAGCCATCAATTGACTTCACGAGGTCTCTTCCGAAGACGTGGACCATCAAACTCGCGTATCTCCTGCTAACAGTTTTGCTGAGTGATCTCCTGATTCGACTGTTTTTGAGGGCGTGGGATTACGCGCGGCCGTATGTGTGCTCGTAATTTTGCAGTGCTGTAGAGGTGACCCAAAATTTATGACAAGTTAAACGGTAGAGTTTCTGGAAACTGTTTCTGATCTCTTTAAGGTTCTCGGTTAGGATATGCATCCCCTAATCAACCAGCACTCGTCATCAGGTCCTACGTTTGGAAAGTGAAGTTCTATTGGTTTGTAGTTAGCTTCTTTGCAGATTTACAGTTACGATCCTGTTGTATATTCACATTTGATAGCTTACTTTATTGAATATCATATCATGGTGATCACTTTCCAAGACTTTGGTGGAGTAATAAAATTAACAAAACTCAATTCTAAGGTTTTTAGTGGGTATTCGCCAGTGATTGGCTAGCTGATAATACCGATGCGTATAATAAAAATGGTGGTTTCTGCCATTAAAGAAGTTGTGCTAGAAATTTATTCAGTTTACATTTAAACCCGATTTTTCTTGAAATATAATTTCAGACAGTTTCAAAGTCAAATAATCAAGCCAAACTAAAGCCATAAATGGCGAAACACTAACTTGGTGGTTTTGAAATTTCACCTGAAAAGTGTTTTTATAATTTTTAAATATTTTTCATTTTTTTAAAATCAAGGACTATTAATTGCATGAAGATAATTCACAACTGTGCAACTCTCCGACTATTGCTGGTTGATTTAATAACAATAATCGGCACATTTACAAATAGACCTCCAATGAGCACGTTACTCCATATTCGTATAAGAACCCGACGGTCAAAAGAATAAACAAGACACCACCTGATTCAGCAGATTTTTCAAAAGAGTGAATGCTGTTCCAAAGTGACGGCACCTTTTTGATTTCCTGCAGCGGCAAAGCTGCCCGAATGGCTGATGGATCAATTAATGCTGGTTGCTCAGCGTGGTTGCTGCAACAGTCCGCTAATTGGGAAAGAAAGAAAAAAAAAAAAGAAAAAAAAAAAAGAAAAGAAAAGTCAGTCTCCGTCTTCTTGATCCGAAAGTGAAGAAAAGTTGGATTTGCAGGTCAAGTTAGTGTTTCCTTCTAGTCCACTTAAACGACATTCGTGACGAGCTCCCTCCAGCGGGGATATGCTTATCACGTCCTGTGACCTCACTCAACTCACACAAATCCAACGTGCATGCGAAATGCTCTCACACTAGCATCACTTTGTACGAGATCGTGTTTGCCACGTTCGGGTACTTGAATTTCTCGGACTCATGCAGCACGTTGACGGCGCCGGACCCGCCAGTTGCGACGATCCCCGTCTTCCGCCTGTGGGTGCAACTGGATGTCCCTTTGTGAATTATCTTGCACGCGTCCATCTGGGCTCATCCCGAGCTCTGGCGCTGCCTGAATCGCCGGGTTGGGGGAGACTTTGGGTCTCTCTGTGGTCTCCCACTAGGAATTCACTGATAGCACTCTAGTCCCCTGGTGCGGAGTCGTTCATGCCCGACTCGTCTGTAGTGTGGGTCAAAGATTCCAAGAGAATGGAAGAAAAGTTGATCTAGGCATATCCGCAAGTTATCGCTTCTCAATGTTGAGGGATCGGTCCGATATTTCAAGACGATTGTAACGCGTCGTTAATCTAGTATTTGCGGAGTGTACTTCGGAGAGTATATCCCTCATGTTCAGTGACGTTCAAAATCTTGCAGTTCACATGAGTAGAGATTGAACAGCCTCAATTGACAACCTGGACTACGAGACCTACTAGAATGGAAACTTGTTTTGGTTCGTCGGTTTCCACATACAGGTGGAAGTTTTAGGCAACTCTTGAGCAAAGATCTGTGGGATTAGTCTCGCAGACTGTTATTTTTCTGCTCTAGAGTACATGATCATTACATGCAGGACCCATGTTTCGGGAAACTGGACAGGCAATGCTGTTGAATTAACCTGCAGTACTCTGGAAAATCTACGAACCGCCACACCAGGACCTTATCGATCGTTCCAGATGGATATGGGTACAGTTCCTTTAGTAAGTTCGGCAACTTAAACATGATCAGATTCAATAATACTTTTAAACAAATGTTGGTATCGATTCCAGGGATAACAAGCTTTTAAAGAGGGGACGGCGCTGGACCAGCTTCCACTCCGACGGTGGGGACCTCATCACTAGCTTCAATGCTCTTGATTCCTTCTTCTTGTTTCAACGGTCAATTGGAGGAGTCCATCGTCAACAGCTCTTGCTGTCGTGATCAAAAGAGGATTCTCTGGATTCCGTATCCTTCAACTTTGACGCCAAAAACAAAAACTACTGAACTTATACTCTGGACAGAATTGGAACACATGCTCAAAACTCAGAGGACATGCCTCTGTGAAGAGAGTAGACACAACCATTTCTATTTACAACAAGGTTAAATATGTGTACACTGCTGTCGTTTCTTCACGCAAACTCATGCAAGAGAGAAACCAATTCGAGTATTATTATAACATGATGAAGGTTTCTTTTTCAATATCAACCATTCAATAAGGTTGTATTTATTAGTGAATTTTATTCTATGTGATAATAAAGTTTGCTTTACATCGACTCTCAATGACTTCATTCCACAAAACATACGCTGGGTCCTGAAAGTTTACAGAGTGTGGTCATCATTGTATCATCGTGATACATAATTTTACATGTCAATTTTCCACAATTTCGTGGTATGACTATTAGATTTTTTTTGCTAAAATTAAATTTTAAAAAAAGTACTTGATTATTGATTAGATTAAAAGCAATAACATGATCTAACTGGGATAGCAATCCATTCCTTTCGAAGATTGAACTCGAGGGACTTAGCATGAGTTGAACACAGAGCTTCACACGAAATATACCTTGCTGAACAATATGACCTCCAGCCGTTTTCCAACGCCCAAAGACTGTTCTTCGTGTCACCAACTTTTGCTGCATAAATAGCTTGCTGCCGGCTGCTGCCAAATGTTTCCGGTTTGTGTCCAGGATTCAAACAGGCGTCACAGTTAGAGATCAACACAGAATGGAACTAGATTGGATTTTGATATAGAGAGAGACTTAAAGAATCCGACAGAAGAAGCAGGTCCTGAACCGAAAGCATTAGGTCTCGTAACTAATAGCACATGAAGCTACTAGTCTATGAGTCAATCCTCCAGTGTCGTGCAGCAGAGCTTTTAACTATAGCCCTTGAGTCATTGGAGCTGTGAAAAGACGTGATATGGGATATTCTACAATTGCAATGGGCTACAGTCGACAAGTATGTGGACTCAGCGATCTCCAGCTGGAGAAGTGGACCCCCTAGAAAAATTGTACAAAACCGGAACGATGAACATGAATCTGCCTGATACTGACAAAGCAGGAGTTGACATCTCCAACAGTGGCGATTGTCGATGTGCAACACCGCCTTATCCATCCAAAGTAAGGCCTGGAGGCAATCTCCTACGATGCGACTCATACAGTGCAGTGAAGCTTGTGGTGCCGAAGTAACCCGGGAAAATACTTGCAGCCTTGATCATTCCCCATCTCCACAACTTCGCACGGTTCGATCCATACAGGGAAGCTTGAGATCGATGATTTTCTGTCCCTATTTTTTTATTTTTTTGTTTAACCATGTGAGAAACGTTCCACGCAACATTGACTCTCATGCGAGCAAATGGAACAACGATCAGTTTTGGTATTTCCTGTTTCGCACCAAATGCTTTCCACCGTAAGTCCAACACTTGAACACCCCAACCCAGTGGATTATGTTCACTGGAGCCAGCGATATCTCGGAAAACAAAAACTTGTGGATAGCAACGCCGCTGTTGGAAACCAAAAAAGAACAGGCGTTGGTTTGCGTGGCGATCAGACTGGAGCCTTGCTTTCCTTCACACAATGAGAATGCTTTTTGTTTTGCTACGTGATTGTGCTTCGATCAAAGGGTTTCATAATCTCCATCCTGGGTCTCAGAATATACAGTATGAATGGTCTATATAACT